CTCTTTTTCTACTTCCAGCCTGGTTTTCTCTTTTTCTACTTCCAGCCTGGTTTTCTCTTTTTCTACTTCCAGCCTGGTTTTCTCTTTTTCCTTCTCGGCTTCATTCTTCATCTGGAGTTCCAATTTCATCTTTTCCAGCTGGAACTGTCTCTCCTCACGCCGTTGTTGGATCTGGAGCTCTAACTGGAATCTCTCCAAGCTCCTATTCCGGCTACTCCTGCTACTGCGGCTACTCTTGCTGCTCCTACTCGATCCCTGGGATCTCACGTCATCCTGCCCATCATCCTCCTTTCTACTTTCAGCTCCTTCCTGGGCTCCTTGTTCTGCCGCTTCACTTCTGGCTCTCAACTGCCTCAGGATCTCATCCTTCATCCCAGCTACTTTAGATGCTTTCAACCTGATGCCACATTTTTCTGCTATTTGTTTCAATTGATCCCTCGTGCAACCTTCTAAATCCTCAGGCTTGCCTGACTCCACAAATGCTTGCACCTTATCCATCTTGTCCTGTGAGTCTTCCCAAGAGAGAGAGTATACACCTGCGGTCACACAGTTTATCTATTTCAGCAAGGGTGTACAAATCCACTCTTGGACAGGGTGTGGGTGTGTCAGTTCACTCTCCCGGACAGGCCCCCAATTTATTATAGACTGTGGGTTGGTTGGTGTTGTCGTCGTTGATCCTTCTCTATGGACAACCCAACCCACAACTCGGCAGAGTGCTTATACTAGGAGATCACCCTTGGCGCTTCTGGCTCTTGGAGAGGGGCTCAACGTCACACGTTCAGGGGATGCGGCTCCAACACTTAGCCTCGTTGTCACGTGCACACACCCACTCGAGCCGCTGTGACTCCCCACTCTCTCCTTATGAGATATGATCTCAATCCCCTATGACTTACTAGTATTACCTCCTACCCTGTCCACAGCAGTGGTTCGTGGTTCTTCCTCTCTCTCTCTCCTTCTTTACTACCTCCTGGGAAGCCTCACTAGGACAAGGGCAAACACCAGCAAATTGTGACACATTTACTGAACAAAGCACATACACGGTACATACACACATATAATAATAATGAATCCTATACTCTATAATATCACAATCAGGTTGCACTCCAATACCATCAGAACTCTATTATCAGCTTATCAAGTGGTATCCTATCTCCTGGTTCACCACCTGATACTATTAACCTCCTCAAGTTGGTCAAGCCTACACACTGTTGCACCATCAGCAAGATAACATATATATATAGAAAATCAGCATTTGAATGCAATAACATATACCAGTATAAATGTTCATTGATACTTCAGTATAAAAAACTCCTTGACATAAGGATGCCAACAGTCACTCACCTCTCACTGCGTCTTGCACGCTACTGACAACCAAACACTATCAACTCCCTATAAGTAATCCACCAGAACTTCCCCTTCCACCTCTGGAAGTTCACAACCCTAATATCCTTAGGTTCTTCCGGGCTTCACTACCAGGATCCTCTGCAGCTCCTCCAGGCTGCTATCATGAAGTTTCCTTGTGCAACTACGGTGCTTCACCCTTCTGTTAGGTTCTTCCACAGCTCTCTTGGCTGCTACACCACCTCTACAGAAGCACGTGACACTCCTCTTCACTGCTGCTTCTCCTCACAGCTCGAGGTCCTCTGCTCCACTACCTTGGAGTCTCATCAGCTACATCATCTGCTGGCTTCGAAGTTCTCAGCAACTTCTTCCCCAAAGACAAACCTGCAACCCATCGACGTTCCAATAAAATGTTCCCCTTTAACACATAAACAAAAATAACCACACAATATGCTTGCCTCAAACCTCTATCTGTCCTCTACATACAGTGAGAGTGGACTCCCCCGTTTTGGGCGGGTCCATACTCCACCTCGCCCGGCGGCGGACCTCACTCACTGGGAGGGTCTTCCTCCGTCCGGAGCCAGGCTCCCTCAGTCGTCCGCCAGCGCTCAGAGCGGACGGACGTCGCTCCGTGCTCCTCCCTCTTCACTCTCCTATTTCAGGCCTTCTGCCTTATTAAAACATGTCTAACTTATAAATAAACATTGCTACTGTCGCTGGGCACACGACCAAACTACAAGCGATCACTATGAACTGGCGTATATCGTGCTTACCACAGATTAACTGATCGAGGGCGCTTTTCCTCTGACGGCGTCTGGTCAGGGCGCTCCACACAGCCCACAATAATGCTTCTGGGCGATTTAATATCTGCTCGCCGACCAGGACTTGAGACCACAACGTTCCCAGCTCGATTCCACAGCTGGTACGTCTACACACTTCTCTTCTCTTCGAGATATATCACTAGGGGTTCCCTTCTGACGGGAGCTCAAACGGAGCGCGGCTTCCCCCTGCGATGTCTGGCACTCAAGTGAGGTCAAGGTCCTCCGGAAGCGAGCCTCACGCCTCCAGCAAAATGTCCACATCTCCTAGCCAGTCATTTATCTGTTTTCTTCTGCATTGCCCATAATCTCAAACTGTTATACATATCCAACCAGCCATTTTACATATGGGTTATCACCTCAATATTTGCTAGACCTTCTAGTTAGGTCAGGCTTGCTGAATAACTCTCAAGAAGGGAGACTCGTTTCTCCTGCAGGCTGAGATCATAACACTTCCATCATACACTTCCCCGAACGGGAAGATGAGAAGGAAGGGTTTCCTCATAGGGGGTTGGTCACATGGCTGTGCACGTGGAAACACACCGGGCAGTGCACAAGGCCGCACACCAGTTCGCTCACCTGGTCCCTCGTCGAGCGCCACACAAAAGGGGACCCACAGACATGCCAGGTCCCCCTGCCACTGGGAACAGGAACAGAGCTTCCCCCCCCCCACTTGGTGCAAATCCTTCGTCAAGGCCACGACGAGGTCGCGATCACCAGGGGCACCCACCCATGGAGGGGAGCCACCAACAGGAGCCGCAGGGTCCAACACAGGAGGCAGCACAGAGCCACACACAGCATCGTCAACCACATCGCCACACTCGTCAGCCCACGCTCGAGGAGGCAACGCATATCCATACGAGAGCGCTTAGGGACAGGCTGTTGATCGTCGGAGCTGTCACCCCCCTGCAGGTGGTGGCCGAGAAGAGACGTCAGCAGGCTGCCCCATATCCGGGGGGAACACGACAATAGCCCGTGTTACTTGGAACTTTTTCTTCCGGGTAGCGAATCTTTAACAACAACAATAACCCACAGAATTTCAACCTCGACGACATGGGGAACGAGGCCGCCACCCACAGAGGAAATCGAAACTGGAGAAATAACAGGTGCAGCAGGCGGGAGGGAAGAGACCAGCACAGGTGAGGAAGCCCACAGGGACGCCAGATCCGGCAGAGATGAGGTGTGTATACGCGAGGAATCCTTCGAAAACGACGAGATAGACGGAGAGGGGGGGGGGAGAGGCGAACACACCACCATCCATACATACCAGCTCACCAGCCGAGGAACCCGGGACCACCACCGGGACAGCAGACGGCGGGGAAACCTCCCCACCCACTCCATCACAAGACGACACGTCCTGTACCACCAATGGGGTAAAATCCTCTTCTCTAAACAAGTTAACAGGAGCAGCCGCCATCCCAGTACAATTGGCCGTCTGGCGCCCTTCAAGACCACAACGAAAACATGTTCGTTGTGGTCGCTGCAAACACTATGCAGGCTGTCCTGCATAGAAGGCTCGCATAGTGTACCCCAGCATGGTAACCGTGGAGGGAACAGGTGACTTGAGCCGTAAGGCGAGAGTCCGGGTGCCACACGAGACACCTCGACATTGTCTGGAAGAGACAGAGTTCAGATGGAGGGAAACCATGATTCCAAACTGGCCAAAGAACCTCCAAAGCAGGGCCTCCAAGAATTTGAAGGGCACACCATGCAGCGCCACATACGTCACAGAGCAGCAGCGGTCAGAAACAGTGACAGTCCCACAGTTCCCAGGGAGTGTAAAGGAACGTCCATCATACCGGTGCACAAAGTCCCGATACACCGCCGCAGAGGAGTGAAACTTCACAAGCGCTTGATGGGTAGTCAACAGTTTGAGGCCGTACACATCGGCTACCTAAACACGCAGCATATCAAACAGAACAACCTCAAGAACAAGGTAAGATGCCCGTCCAGAAAACTCCAGACCCACAGTCTCAGAGCGGCAAACAGGGGGAAAGGGTCCCATGGCACCTACACAACAAACAACGTCCTCCCACACTCAGCGCCAAGCAACGACTGGTGAGAGCAATCCACAACGACCACCCCCTCCAGTGACGGGGCCTAGAGTCCTCAGCATCACAGTGTGACGCTACATCGTCTGCCTCAGGAGACAAATGCCAATCCGAAAAATTATCATACGTTTTATTGTTTACAATGAAAGTCAATAAACTCTTAAGCACAAAAGTAGAGCCATTTCCATTGTTCACTAATCTACACTGTGCCATTCTGTTTTCCCTTTGATGGATGAGAGAATTATATAAACTGGTGTGTGGTGTTTTGACCAATGGAATTCATCATTACAAAGCACCTATTCATTAAATTAATAATCGAAACTACTACAACACCAACAACAAATGCAGTGTTGCCAAATTGCATGTTCCAAGGACCTGAGGGGAAAAGGAATAATTTTTTCTTCACTGTACAGTGGAAACGCTTACAGACGTTCGTAACAGGCTCAGGTACCAAACCCCAACTCTTGGTCGAAGGGCGTATTGAGCACAATAATCCTTAATATTATGGTTACAAAGATCAAAAATTTTAATTTTTATGTTAAAATGTTGTTTTGGTAGGTATTAAAAATAAATACAGAGCTAAAAGTATTATACCGAATGCAATATAAACATCATCCTAAAGTTATTAAAACCAACTCCATAACACTAGTCTGGGTCTCTCACGGCGTTTTATGAGACAGGGATCATTGCCTTTGAAGGAATTGAACAATATTTAAAAATAACATTTTCATGCATTTAATAGGGCAATAATTTGTTGGTGTGAAGGACTGAGCAACTCCAAAAACTTTAGGCTGGCGGAGGCAGCAGGACTGTGGCAGCTGCGGGAGACGGTGGTTGTTGCTGTGGGTGGGACGGCTGGGGTGAGGGCTGTGCTCCTACACCAGACTCTACGAAACACTCTCCACGCCCTTTACCTGGCTCTCCACGTCCCCGCCCTCCATGCCACGCCACCACACACTGACGCTCGCCTTGGCAGGTCTCCAGGCAAGGTTATTACATTATTACATAGTGCTATACTGCATTTATATGTACTTTAGTTATATAAGATAAGTTCCAAATCTCTAACCTCCAGCCTAGGACAGACAAGCAGAGATATTCTTTGTTCAGCCCATCCTCCTAGGGTTTCCTGACGTCAAGAAAACAGTTTATTTAAAGCGTCCTCTCCTAACTTACCAGAGGACCCAAAACAGAAAATTGGACAGTATGTCACTTTCACGAGCTGCGTTCATTTCCTAGTACGACATTTGTTTAGCCTTAAGTAACGCATACAATCGAAATGCAACGTTCTTTGTAAGAAGACAGGTTACTCAGTTATAGATATATTAGGAAGGTGTACCTGGCGGGACCCAGGGCCCAGGTTGGCTCTCTTCCCCAACCCCTCTTCTTTTCCCGTCCCCCCACATCACCCCTCTTCGCTCCCCCTCCCACCCTTTCTTCCCTCTTTCCTCTCATCTTTCCCTTCTCCCCACCCTTTCTCTCTCTCTCTCTCTCTCTCTCTCTCTCTCTCTCTCTCTCTCTCTCTCTCTCTCTCTCTCTCTCTCTCTCTCTCTCTCTCTCTCTCTCTCTCTCTCTCTCTCTCTCTCTATCTATCTATCTCTCTCTCTTACCCTAAATTCACGAGACATCTCTCTCTCGGGTGGGAGAGAGAAAGAGAGGGAGATCTTTCTAACCAGTATTTAGATCTAGCTATCTAAATACTGGTTAAAACACTTTAAGGGGACCGCGTCGTACATTTCCGGCGGGTTTGCTTATGCGGGTTCTGCCCTCGCGTCGTCGTAAATAGCCGGGCGCTCTAAAAAAAACATATAAAATCCAATTCTTATTCGATCGACTTGGGGTTTGTATGAATATGTTTGCCATTAAATTTCCGTTTTCTAAAATAGGCACATGGACTATTTGAGAAAACGGCATTGTATTGTAACTTAGAGGAGAGACTATTGAGTTTGTGACACAACGAGGGTAATCGCCCACTTCACACACTCTTTATTTATTTATTTATTTATTTATTTATTTATGCATATACAAGAATGTACATAAGAAATGTGAGGATACAAATATGGTAATTACAGTCTTGTAAAGCCACTAGCACGCGCAGCGTTTCGGAGCGTTTTGTAAACGCTCGAATGTACAAGAATGTACATAAGGAATGTGAGGATACAAATATGGTAATTACAGTCTTGTAAAGCCACTAGCACGCGCAGCGTTTCGCAGCGTTTCAGCGCAGCGTTTCACTCTTGTGTGAACCGCGATCATGATTCTACATACCCCTCTATATTCTACATATGACGCACATACCCCTCTACATGATTATACATATACCCCTCTTGTGTGAACCGCGATCATGATTCATATATGCATATGTCTGTGTAGAGAATTTTATTGCAAGTTCAGTGATATAAAATTTAACGCTGTAGGACTAATGTGGAGCTGACAACAAACAAAAGAGTATGAACATTTTGTTGCTGTTTGGGCGTACGGCGAGACGGCGAATGATCTACGTTTTTATTTATTTCGTGGTGGAATAGCTAATGCTTTGGTTACATTTTATACATATGATCTTGTAGAACATTTTATTGCCAACACGTTGATACCAAAATTAAATATGTAGCTCGAGAATTGGTGTTAGGAGAGTGAAAAGATTATACACTGTTTGGTGTTTACGCTCAAGAGAAAAAAACGCCGCGCGCACAATGTGCTATTTTTTTTCACGGGTACCGCACGCATTAAAGTGATAATTATTAAGGGGACGTGAATTCGAATGATTGCCTTGGACAAACAAATGAATACTCTTCTGTGGCGTGAGCAAACGCCAAAGATTTAATACTTCAGGTGGAGTTGAAGGCCAGAGTGGTCGTCAATACCACAAGCAATGCCAGACCTTCCTCACCTGGTTCATTTTCTCTGCAACTTGCTTGCAAGCAAATGTAGCAGGTAGAGGATGGATTCTCACATCAAATTCTAATTTAGTGCATTGAGGCTATGGGGCTAAAACCTGAGGAAACTCAAGTCAATGACTTGGTCATGTAGCAAGTGAATAACGGGGGGCAGTACAGCAGAATGAGGAATGAGATTAAAGGGACGTGTATTAGCAAAAATAGGTTTATTCAGCAACTTACTGACTAACTACACAGTGACCCACGTTCTTTACATTATTCAAGAATGTCACTTAAACAACTATCTAAATACCACTTTGCAGCAGGTCTCCAGACCCACCACTCTATAAGTGCAAAGAGACCCAGTGGACAAGTCATGAATAACAATGAACTAACCTGAACATTACGTGAACACTCTTGGCCAATACTGCACTCGCACTGGCAGTCTCAAAACAACTTCACCAACACCACAAATTTACATACATTTAAATGATTACACAACCAATGTAACCAAGACATAACAACACAATGAATGAATTAATTACTCAATTAATTTACGTTAATGACACTGTCCCTCACACAGTCAACAATCATTTACAATCTATCAATTAACTTACGTTATTACACACTGTCACACCGACAGTCAACAAAGATAATTAATTAACAACAATTACATTAATCACTGTCAAACAGAACGTCAACAATCAAATATAATCAATTTACCACAATTACGTTGATTATGCTCTGTCCCTCAGACAGTTAACAATCATTGAGTTACATTAATAACTGTCACTCAGACAATTAATGACACTCTGTAACTCAGACAACTAGCAGTCAATGAGTTACGTTAATTTCGTTATTTACGCAATTCAATAATTATTGCTTATCACACAGACGAGATATTAACAAGATGTCACTTGACACCCCAATACACAAAACAATACAACACAATGTGAATGACAATATAAATTTGTCATAAAGACAACCGCTAATTACACCACATACGTGTCACTTAGGAGTCCCTGCTCCGCGCCAGAGGGTGAGGACGTCAGGCCAGAGCAGCCAGTCGTCGTTGGCCGTTGCTGCATGGTGGTTGGTTGTTGGAGGTGTGGAGCGCCCGCTCGCTGGGGCTCCGGCTGGTGGTATGGAAGTAGCCAGTGGTAGCCGTGTTCGACGGGTGGATACTGAACGGCTGGAATTTTTTGGAGCAGTGGACTGGCCCATTGTGGAGATTACTCTCCTGGACGTGCTCTGTGTCAACGTCTCTGATCTTCTGGGGCTCGATAAAATATCGCCTACCCGTGTGGCGGTGTCATTTGCCACATCACTTCTTTACCGGAAGTTTGTGGCACGCTCGCTTCCTCTTCCTGCTTCGGCTGTGACTGTGGAGATTTCAAATCCCTGGGGGCCCTTGACTTTTGTGAGTGTTCACGGGGTGCCGGTGACCTTTCCCGAGGCGGAGCTAATGTCGGTGTTTACGTGGTTTGGTGCGGTGGTGAAGCCCGGTTCACCACTTTGAGTGCGGGTCGGCTGAAAGGGGTCCATCTGAGTGCTCGCACGCTCGTTATGTAGGTCACGAGCCCTATTCTTTCCAGGGTTTCGTTTCGTGGGCTCTCTCTGCGGGTATTTTATCAAGGGCAAACACGCACCTGTTTCCGGTGTGGTGCTGAGGGCCACGTGGCGGTGTAACAAATTAGGCTGTTGTAAGAATTATTCCAGAAGGTTCCAGAAGTTTCGTGTAGGGACCTGACCTCAACAACGCACATTCCCCTGGGGATTAGCAGGTCTGAGTCACAAATGGCGGGCGTCTCTGTTCATAGTTGCGTATAATGAATCATCCTATAGTATTCAGTAATTTAGAGAAATTAGCCTTTATTCATTTTGTATTAAAATTGTATTGTATAATATTCCTGGTTATAGTACCAAGAGTATTCTAATTATTAGGAGATTTGAGTTAAGTCACCATCAGTGACGTCACGAATCAGATCTAAGTTGTAAGGCGCGAGTGACCGGCGGTCATAGGTCATCAGAGTTGACATGTCCACTATTTCTCAAAGTTCAAATAACCATTTTGGGGATCGGGAACAGCTCTGCCGTTAGATGCTTGTGTAATTACTCTTCAGTAAAATAATTCAACCAGTCTGGATCAATTAAGTACAAACAGACGTTAATTGTTATAACTTAAACCTTGCTAGTAACTTGGTAAAACTTAGACTATGCGGAAGGATACAATGCTCTAGTCTGGGGAAGACCAGACGAGGAGAGATCAGTGTGGACTCCAGATCAACTGGGAGAGGTCAACCATCTTACCTCTCTCCCAAGACCAGCCCCCAACATCTGAGCTGGTCGCCCAAGGTAGAGTTGCTTTGTGAGTTCTTATAGGGATAGTCAATTCATTGCCGTTCAGGTCAAGTAGGGAGTGATAACCATTTAGATTTTGTTTTAGTTTTCTTTTAATAATTTAATTAGTTAATAATTTGCATTTTTATTATTTCCATGTGTATGTATATGTATGTGAACTTGTCCTGGTCACGTGGTCCACACGAGGCAGAGTTGGATTGGGCGCCGATTCTAACACCAAATCGGAAGTCATCATTCCTGTTTAATTAATTCCACACTTAAGATAAGGGTATCGGTTATAGTGGGGATCAAGCCCCAAGGTTGATTAATTAGCATGATCGATCCAGACCTCGATCATTGCTCAGTGTTACTGGTCTGGTGGTGGCGGCGGAGGCGACTCTAGGGTTTTGCTCGAAGCCTATGTCACGTCATACGGGTTGTAGAATCCTAAGTCGGTCAATCGTCTTAGGACCACGTGGCGTGGAGTCGGCTTTAGTAAAAGTTTTGGAGTCCCTTGTAGAGAATAAAAAGTAAGAATACGGGTAGAGGGGGAAAAGGAGGAAAGATAATCCGAGAAACCCTCCCCGTGTTACAGCGGCCGGCTGCGACGTTCCTCGTGCTGAGGCCCCTTCAGTTTTCCTGGAAGATGACTTTCCCCGCTTGTCTGTGCGTGGGGATTCCCTGGCGGATCCTCGCTCTGTGCAGGTTCCTGGTGGGATTCCTGCGGCGGTTCTAGCTGTCGCTCCGTCTGGCCCTGATCTGTCTGCCCCACTGGTAATCTCTGTGGACCTAGGAGCACCTGCTTCGGACCTTCGCCGCTCAGTGGATGAGGAGGTGCATCCGCATCCGGTTGCTTCCGTGGTGGCATTGGTTGGTGCTGAACGGGTGGTGCCAGCATCTCCTGCAGAAGGATGTGTGCTTCCTGGGGCTGTCGGGGCGGAGTTGTGTGTGACTCCGCTCACGCCCTCTGCCTCTTCACCTCTGGTAGTTTCCTCGTTATCACGTGCCTCTTCTCCTCTGCCAGTACCTTCGCTATCGCTGGATACCTCGCGTGTGCTGGAGTCTACCCTTCCGCTTGCTGTGTCTGCTGTGCGCCTGCTTTTTGCCCCACGTCGTTGAAGCTGCTGTTTTGCGTGATCGTGCTGCCCCGGCTTTGGGGCCGCCTGCCGATGGTTCTTCTGGGGCACCGCTTGCAGGGGATGACAGTTCCGACGATCAACGGCCTATTTCTAAGCGCCGTCGTTCGGCTCGGGATGCGTCACCTCGCTGGACGTGGGCAGAGGGGCGTGATGCGTTGGATGATGATGCTGTGGGTGATGTTGTGCCACCTCCTGTAGTGCCTTCTATGTTGAACACTGTGCCCCCTGCTGGTGGCTCTCCTCAGTAGGCGGTTGGCTCTGGTGACCGCGATCTCGTCGTGGTGTTGTCGAAGGATGTGCGATGGGGGGGACTCTGCTCCTGTTCCGGTTGGTGGGGGCCCTGGGGCGCCTGCGGAGCCACCCTCCGTGGGGTTCAGTGCGGTGCCCGATGTAGAACAACGTGCGCGCCCTAGTGTGCGGCCCGAAGGGCGGCCTCCGCCCGCTGTTCCGGTATCTCCTGCTTCCTCGGCGATGGTGTCCCTGCCTCGCGTGTCGGGTTCTTCGTCTTTGGTGTCCTGTGCTTGGAGGCGACCGCCTCCGCTGAATGTTGCGGTCCCCGAGTATATGGAGTACCCGCGGTATCGTGAGGGCCATGCCCCTACGGACCAGGAGTATTTGGTATGGGAGGCTTATAAGCGGAGGTAGTCGCAGTTTACATACCCTGAGAAATATCCTCCTGTTTGACTCTTGTGTGTTGTGGTGTTGCATGCGCTTGAGTAAGTGGGTGTGGGGTTGGGTTGCTTGTGTGTGCTTGAGTTGGGGGGGATTTGTTTTCCGGTTCCTGCGATTCCGTTTTATTTCTGGATTTGTGTGTGTGTTTGTATTGAATATTCTGTGTGATTGGCTGTGTGGTTTTATACTTGCAGATATGTGTGTCTTATGCATGGCTGTTTATTTTATGTACTTCTGTCCTTACGGCCCTTTGCTCGTTTGCATGTTTTTTGTGCTTTTTGTTTTTTTGTATGTTCAGTTCCCTGTGTGGTTCTGTTTTCTGTTATTAATGCCTTGTGTTTCTTGTCTTGGGTATGTGTCATGTATTGCTTTTATTGCTTTCAGCTTTGCCTATAGTTTATATTATGCACTTGTGTTCTTACGTCCTATTGGTCGTTTGCATGGTGTTTGTGCTATTGTTTTAATGTATTTTCAGTTCCCTATGTGGTTCTATCTTCTGTTATTAATGCCTTGTGTTTCTTGCCTTAGGTATGTGTTATGTTAGGCGCCCTTGTTGGGGTTTGTTCTATGCTTTGTTTCCCGAGTATTTAACTTTTGTTTATTTTGGTGTCTGGGTTCTTTGACTATTGTATTACTGTATTCCGTGTATCCTGGATGTACTTATGGCTTTTCTTTGTATGTGGTTTTCTGTTTGTTCTTTGTGGTTTTCTTATATAAATAAAATAAAAAAAACTTACGTGTCACTCAGATGACCATAGTAACCAATCTCTCTCAATACTTCCTGCAATAGGTGTTAAACAATCCTATCACTCAAAATGTGTATATTTTATAATAATGTTCACACAACATGTCCGTCATTTACTCTCTAGTGATTCGACACTTGAATGGTTACAGCAGTCACTTCTGACAGATTACACTTTCTCAACCTCATCGGATTTTAAGACAGAGCCAGCTCGTTGCGAGGTAATACCCGGATGATCCGATCCGAGGATGAGTGATTACAGAACACCAAAACTATATACAAAATTTAAAATAACCCGTGATTAGTACTCACGTGCAATTTCACACCTGTCATGCCCTGTCACTGCTGTCGCTGATGATGCTTCCTGGTGGAAGGTAAATTGTTGATTTAAGCGAGGGGAAACCCAATACTGTATCAACAATATTGGATAAGGTTTCACCCTACAGCTTTCCAGTTGACAGATGGTAAATCCAGGTGATAATTAGGTGGCACAACGCGAGCTGGTCAATAAACGTGAAACGACCTTCATTCAAACAGTCGTTAAATAATGTTCACTTAAGCCACTCAATAACAACCAGTCCTCATACATATTATATCTAAATTTGGCCGTTTGCCCGTATGGCCGAAAATGGACGTAATATGAAAATGAAAATAATTGAAAATTAATTTTGGATTTTCTTTTTTTTCAAAACAGTAAGTTAATGGTCCTCTGGTAGGTTAGGATAGCAGGATATTCTCCTAAAGTTTCAAAAGTCATGAAAAACGTTAATTGAAAGTTTCCTCTCTTAACCTTACCGAGTAAGCCAGACGACTCAAACAGAAAACGGGACAATACATCACTTTTGTGAGTCGATTTCATTTCAAATTACGTCCATTTTTGGCCATAGAACGCATACGAACGAAAAGTGACATTATTTTTAAAAAGACGAGTTGCATTGACAACAAATATGGCAGAGTGCAACACACTATCAACTCCCGTTTTCTTTACCCCGAGCCGAGTACACACTCACACACGCCAGGCGAGGGTAGGCACTACACACACCCAAATCACCCTTACACTATGCCGAAACACATAGCCTTCCCGGTTTGGTGCCTTCTTTTGGTAATTACTTACTTACTTACTATGGCGAAACACCAAACAGTTTGTTATCGCCACTAAGCTGTTCACACTCTTGGGATATTTCACTTGATTGTCTTCTACAGATGTTCACTGATAGATGGGACAATCACTCCTCTCTCTCAAACTCACTTATGACACTGAGGCTTCCTCTGAATTAGTTATGCTTGATTTCACTTCTCTCTCTCTCTTTGTATCTGTTCCCTGTGAAATCACACGTTGCTGTTACCTCACACACTGCTGTAGTAACCAGACAAACACGTGGTCTGGGCTTTTCCTGGACTGGCGTTTTCGTTGTAAGATCCTTCTTCCAGTACAATGTAAGATCCAATTGCACCGCGAAAATTCACCAAGGATCCGGTTCTTGGCTTGTTTCTCGGATACAAAGAGTACTGTACCACCAGATTTAGATAGAACTGGCTTTGCCCTGAGCACAGCATAGTTCACCTCTTGAAGTCTGGAGCCGAATGAGGTTCCTAACTTTCCTCGGAAACTTGCACGCAGCTGTGACGTCAACACCTGTTCGCCAATCAGTCCCTAGGCCGTTTACGCTCCCATTGGCCGCTGCATCTGTTGCCCCTTGTGGCATCAGGCCTAGTGTTACCGACATACAAGACAGTGCCCCACTGTTCTCGAAGAGGATAGTCTTTTTGTGGTCGCAAGACCACCCGTTTTGGTGAGGGGAGGTCTCTCTCTCTCCTTCCCACCACACTGTAAAAAAATTTCCCCATATGGGAACCCCTGAGGTACTGGTACTCCAGAAGTACCCTACTTTCCCGTGTTCCCTCTCTCCCCCCTCATCTTACATCTTTACTATATACTATCTTCATCATTGTAATCATCTTTCCTACTCAATGTTTTCATCACTTTAACCCGAATGAATTCAATTCATTGTTTTGAGTAAATCGTGACAATGCCCATTAAACTCTATGGAAAACACATCCGCGATTTCATATCAGACCTCATGAAACTCTCAAGCGAAGGGAGGTGGGTTATCAAGGGATCTTGAGATCTTGAGTTACAGGCTCATATATCTTAAAGTATTGAACTTAGGTTGCACTTGACCATCCTACGTCTGACCCTTACCCCAGACAGTAGGTGAGTATAGTAATATTTCTGCAAAGTTGGGTGAGGCTAGCCCCACGCATCTGGTATCCAACTTTGGATAGATAAGCAGACACTAACTTTTAGTATACTAGGAGTGGCACAGGAGATAGATATTCAGATATTAAAATTCAATAAGAATTTATTTCTGTATTCAATTATTAATTCGTTAAACATACTTTAATTGATTATTATAAATTCAAGTGGACTGTATATTTAAATGTGGACTGTATGCACTGTGATTATCCTGCCAGGTGTTGTCCTGCTTACATATTTGGGTAGTGTATGTACACAGCCTATCAATAAAATTAATTAATTAATAAATAGAAGATACCACAGGTTATTATACAACTAAAATGGATTAGTGTAATACAATACACAGTTTAGCTGTTAGGTAGAGCATAGCCTATGAATAAGCACTGGACATTCCTCAGTCACGTATACGAAACTCGTTGCTTAAGTCCTAATGGCGGCTGTGAATGCTTCATGTTGCTCCAGGGTGACTCGTTGTAATTTCTTCTTCCCTTGGGCTGCAACTGCAGAGTAACTTCCAAGTAATAAACTGCTATTACAATACAGAGAATATAACAAGGGAAGGATTAAATATAATTGGAACAAGAGCTTACCAGTTCCGGGTGGTTCTCAGGTATCATAACCTGTCAAAAGATATACAAATATAATGGCCACCACTTTATACATATTGTGACGGAGTTCCCCCCCTTATAATTCTCCCACGCCTGCAGTAAGAGTCATGTCTGCTTTTCCCAAGCGTTCTCTACGTTGCAGGCTACAATTTGATATATGGGAGAGAGTGAAGTGTTCTCGGAGAGCCGAGAAATTTGTGAAATAGTAATATTTTGGCCTGTGGTTTAGGCCCTTTAGGGAGCCAAGATGGCGCTTGCCTCTCTGATCTCCCGCCAAAACCGTGTGACGTCAGTGGCACCGGATTGGTCACCGGCAGCAGTGTGGCACCGGGAGCCAATGAAAACCTCCCATAGTAAAAGTGACGTCACGAAGGAAGGGGGTCCGGCCAGCGCGCCGGGCTGGCGCCATCAGTCAGATACGACACGTCATAGAGGTCGGACGTGCGACGAGTGGTCCTGTCTGTCGGACAGCTGTTTCCCACTACCGTGGATTTACGCGTCACCTGAAGTCCGCCAGTACTCTGAGAAGTCTTCCCTAGTTCATGTGTTGAACCAGAAGAGGGAATTGACGGTTATTTGAGCAACAAGTGCTCCAGTCAGGTACTGTGCCAGTAGCAGTGAAGCCGTGCAGTGACGTATGTTGACGTCTGTGGCAATTCACCAGTTCGTGACAGCGTAGTGGCAGACAGAGCCACTGGGTAGCTGAGGAAGAGAGGACTATTTGGGGGAAACCGAACGACTGCAGCTGAGACGTAGGCGACAGCCGTTGCTGGGAGAAGACGACGGCCAGGAGACCGACTCCAACCTTCAAGAAGTCAAGAAGGAGGACGGACCTGCAGTGAGGAGGCACGGAGACGACGCGCTAAACGGTGGGACGACGAGAGGCTCTGGTAGGACACGACGACGTGTAGTGTGGGGCGTTCCCGACACGAGGACCAGGAGCTACATCTCGACTCTCATCGGAGGATAGGGTGAAGTAGGTGGTTCTAGTTCCCTCCCCATTCCCCTTTAGTTAGCTATATTATTTGGCTATATTATCTAGCCTGAAGATTTTATATGTCGTGAGCAAGTCTCACCTATGTCACGGTAAAGCACCAGTGTGCTAGACAGTACTATCAAGAGTACTTGTATTATTCATGTTGATTATTGGTGTGTACAGGCACCAGGAACCAGTGATAAATTTACTGTGATGTGTATATCTTTCTATAGATTTTGATATGAACATATAGTGGTAAATTATATATAATATTATGCCAGTATTCGGAGGTTAGGCTATGTGCCCAGAAACTATTTATTTTCCATGTATTGATGATTGATTTATATACCATATATATGTCTATGTTCATTCAGTGAATAATCATTTGTGAGTACAGTGAATCATTGCGTTATCGCCCACGAGAGAAAGTACTGAAAACTCCCGTGTTAATATTTCATAATATATTGTTGGATAAATAACAGTGTAAGACCATTACAGTGAATCATTGTAGAATTGATTGTAGAAAAGACTGTTTGAGCCTGAGTACAGTGTAACTAAGTAATTCGGTTTATTTGTGCCAATATAGAGTGTGCGAGTTTCTAGTAATATTGGAGAATTTAAAGAAACCGCGCGCGTGAATCTAGCAAACAAGCAAATTTCGCGCGGAGAGTCCATTGCGATCAGCTGTTCTTGACACTTGATGAGGAGGGGGAGGTGTTGCCACCTAATGATCGCGGACTATTCGTGGGAACTTCCGGCCGCGTCAGGATTTGCTGATTTATTTGTTGTTGTTTGGCTTTGTGACATCTTTCATACATTTTAAGTAAAATACATAACTCTCTTTGTGTTTTTATCATCCCCTCCATTGATCTTGTGGCTATACTATACCTGTAAGCATAGAGTGATAACAATAAGTACCTGCCTGATTCCTGATCTTTGAGTGTGACCTTGCCAAGGCTACCACTGAATACACCAGTCCACTGAGGGTGTTACTGGCCACCTTAAACACCAGTTGGCGATCTTGTGTTTAACCATAGAGCCCTATTGTTGGGGAGGGCACACGACAGTCGAGGTGAACGAGTCGTGTTCTCACTCTTTCTTAATAAGAGGCCGTTAAGATTGACTGGGAGACTCTCCTGGCGTGCAGTGGCGCCGTGAGGATCGAGGGAAGACCCGCAGGGCTACGGTGAGTTACCTTGAGCATAACTATTGCTCACCCCAGAGTAAGGGTAGAGAATAATAGAGAGGTGGAATCCCCAACAATATACACAATTAAATTTAACGGATACAATACTCACAAGGTTAGCGAGATCTTCGGTTGTTTGGAGACTCAGTGGTTCCTTTGTCAAAGCTCGTGGGAAGTCTATGAGATATGCAAGTGTCGATTTGAGAGGCGAACTGTTTGTTCTCTGTGATGTCATCTGTATGACCACTCTCGCAACAGTCTAATGACGTCTCCTTTCCGATGCAGTTCTGAACGTGTAAAGGAACGCAGTTTTGAATTCATCAATTTTATCTTAGGGAAGTAGACTTTGGATTTATTTGTATTTTAATTAAATCCACTCTTGGTCAACACTTTGTATCATATTTAGTTTCCGGGCTGGTGTTTTAAGGATACGTGTTATGCGTAATTAAATACAGGTGACGCGGCAAACCTTCCATTTTCTCTCACAAGCCACTGAAACCCATTTTTTTAATGACGTTAGTAGTTATTAATGTTAGTATGTTCCTAACATAACCGTTTTTACCTCGAATGTTAGGTACTAGTAATTTAGTGTCGAAATTTCCGACAATTCCGTCCAGCATTCTGCCCCAGAGACACATTCATCAGTTTTAACATGCTGTTCATTAAAAACAGGAATTTTCTCAAATATAAATTAATATCAATATATAATAGCATATATAATTGGTTAGGCTAGATTAGGTGTTTAGTTATTTGTTTAGTGCTTGCGATTATTTGTATTTGTAGTAAGTGAGTGAAGCATTTACAGCGTTTTGGTTCAAATAAAAGTCGTTAGCGTAACACGTGTTCCGGAAGTGTTAGGACGTCATCAGTTGTGAGTCGTTTGTAAACCGTTTTTCATTCATAAACAGGGGGTTAGCAGGTGAATTCCATGGACTTTGCTTATGAGGACGGGGTGGCCTCTTTGGGGTGAACCGCTGGATGGAATGAGCTTGATATGAGGAAGGGTTGAGGACAGTTATAACTGTTTCGTCTGTTATAAATTTGACGTTATATAATGATGTTGTGTGTGTCAATAACGCTTTATTCCTGAGCACTGGTTATATCATGGGGTCTTTACCCCAAATTAAGCATGTGCGGCATGATTTATTAAATTGTTTATTTGTTACTATATTTTAAATGTTATTATACTCAGAGAAATAATTAAATTTATTTAAATTTAGGCTAGGCTGCTGATATTTACTGTGTTAATTGCCATTACATGCAAGGCAATGAAGCAGTACCTCGCTGACCTTAATCTAAATATAAATTTATTGTTTGGTTATGTGGGAACTCTGAGCAGGTGAGTGAGAGCAGCTGCAGCACACCTGCCTTATATAAGGCAGGTGTGCTGGCCTTATATAACCTCTTTTTCCCAGCAGTGGACTACATGATGGAGGCTATAATTCTATTCCCAGCCATGTGGAATAGCTGGGAATATTGTTGTTCATTTATTATTGGATAATTTAAGCAATGGTAGACTCCCTAGAGTATTCACAGTAGCATATTCATATGCTCAGATTCCTTAGAATTGTTTGCTTAAGTTGTACCCAGTCAGAGGTTTACTGGATTTTTTTTTAAATCATATTCTGCATGAAGGATTCGATCAGGGGTGTTAGGAGGCAAAAACATCACAAATGTTTTTTGTCAATAATGTTTTTTGTTTGACTGTGTGTGTAGTTGGAGGAGTGGTGAAGGTATACCGGCGGTGCATGAATTGTAACAACGGGGAGGCGGACGTCCAGGCCATCAGCTGCTGCATCGACCCGCCGCTCGCCCACTATACTCCCCAACTATTATTTGGTAAAATATATTTTGAGGCTCACATTAATTATGCCACAACATTGCCTGTTAGGTACTGAAGTAAATTATAATTTACATATTAATTTTTTTGCATTATTTTCCTTGATACTACTGTTCTAATTATATGTAGTTTAATTAAATTGTGCAGCAACATTGGAAATGTCAGAATTCTTCAAAATAGATTTTCTGAGACCTTGCGTTAGGCTTGCTTATACCCTGGCATCAGATGTAATGCGTACGCAATGCTTCCACAGGGCCCGTGGAGTCGCTGATGGGCCACAAGCTCCGGGTGGTGACAGTACCTCATTTCCCGTTCATGGACTTCGTCCGGAGCCGGGAGGGGGCTGGGGGCAGAGTGACCCCCAGGGACGCCCTCGACACCAGGCTCTTGCACACGTTTGCCGACGCTCTTAATTTCACGTAAGAACCGACACCTATTCTTTATACCTAATGTGTAGTCAAAATATATGAGATGGTGTGGTCACAATATATGAGATGGTGTGGTCACAATATATGAGATGGTGTAGTCACAATATTTGAGATGGTGTAATCACAATATATGAGATGGTGTAGTCACAATATATGAGATGGTGTGGTCACAATATATGAGATGGTGTGGTCACAATATATGAGATGGTGTGGTCACAATATATGAGATGGTGTGGTCACAATATATGAGATGGTGTGGTCACAATATATGAGATGGTGTGGTCACAATATATGAGATGGTGTGGTCACAATATATGAGATGGTGTGGTCACAATATATGAGATGGTGTGGTCACAATATATGAGATGGTGTGGTCACAATATATGAGATGGTGTGGTCACAATATATGAGATGGTGTGGTCACAATATATGAGATGGTGTGGTCACAATATATGAGATGGTGTAGTCACAATATATGAGATGGTGTGGTCACAATATATGAGATGGTGTGGTCACAATATATGAGATGGTGTAGTCACAATATATGAGATGGTGTGGTCACAATATATGAGATGGTGTGGTCACAATATATGAGATGGTGTAGTCACAATATATGAGATGGTGTGGTCACAATATATGAGATGGTGTAGTCACAATATATGAGATGGTGTGGTCACAATATATGAGATGGTGTGGTCACAATATATGAGATGGTGTGGTCACAATATATGAGATGGTGTGGTCACAATATATGAGATGGTGTAGTCACAATATATGAAATGGCGTAGTCACAATATATGAGACGGTGTTGTCACAATATATGAGATGGTGTGGTCACAATATGAAGAGATGGTATGTAACAGTATGAGATGGTGTGGTCACAATATGAGGAGATTATAATGCTTAATCCCTCACATACACCTCACCTTCCTGGCCTCAACATTAACATTCAACTCACGCAGACGAGGAGTCACAATAGCGTGGCTGAAATATGTTGACCAAACCACACACTAGAAAGTGAAGGTTACGACGACGTTTCGGTCCGTCCGGGACCATTCGCAACTCGATTGTCACGTTCCTGGCCTCAACACTCACATTCACATCACCTTCCTTGCCTCAACACTCACATTCATCTCACCTCCTTGCCTCAACACTCACATTCACCTCACCTTCCTGACCTCAACACTCACATTCATCTCACCTTCCTGTCATCAACACTAACATTCACCTCACCTTCCGGACTCAACACTCACATTCACCTCACTTTCCTGGCCTCAACGCTAACATTCACCTTGTTACCTATCGTTCGTTATGGCTCGTGACCCAAACAACAGCATGGACCTTAATTATCTAGGGCTACTACAAACTGCAGTTCTCAAGAGCGGGTCACCAGTGTTACCCCATGAATGATAACAGGCTAAGAATGAAAAGTATTTCTCCCTTAGGACTGAAGAATTATACATATAACTTATAATATATATATTCAATACAGTATAATATAAAAACACAGATGGTCAAGTTAACTTATACAACCAACAAAAAGTATTGTCTCTCATATAATATAATATATAAAAATATGGCACAACATGAATGTTATAGACTTAACTCTACAAAGATGTGATCTCTCCTGGCCCTCGCTCTGTCGCTACCCATAATTCTCTCCTTCTCAGCCTCATCCAGGATGAGGGATGAAAAATGCAGACTTTTTAATATTTAAAACTAATTGAACAACCACGTGTTCTCAAAACATATAAGAATGCAAATTAAATATAATAGTTACTTGCAAAATATATAAGTACAATGCCACCTGCTTAATTACAGTAAATAAACAATTATATAAACTTAGTAAAAGTGACATCTGGAACTCCCAAACTGAACAGGTCCAGCAATTCTAATTTCCCGAATCTAACAGGTATTAGACGTGTGAAGAGCAACCGCGCTCCTGTCCCCCACTGACATTGCCACACCACACTATAATTTACCAAAATATAATATATGTACATATATGATGAAATGGAACCGAATAAGTTTATTAAATTTATATACGTATTCAGCTAGGAGTACGTAACACTTCCACCTCCAAGAAAAAAAATGCAATGGATTGAAGATCAATGGCATTTTTTCCGAAGTAAAATGTATGACACTTGAGATTTATGGTATTAATTTCACCAAACGTGTAAAAGTAATAAGAACACATTTCTAGACAAAAATGAAAACACTCCCAATACATTCTAACATGAAACTCAGAAATGTCAGTCTTATGACTATGTTCTACATATGTTTCACTGGAGTATGCAAATTTATCTCTCCAGGGCACTATCTCATATATTTCACTTTGTTTCAGATCATATTTCACACTCCTATCAACATTATCATTATTAGCATGAATAGAATTGTCAATAAACGTAGCTGCTTTCACACAGTTATCATGGCAATTTATCTTTATATCTGTTTCTACTATTTCTCTAAGATCATTCCCATATTTCCATGTGATCCCTTTTCCACATTGTGAAGTTTTCCAAGACAGACTCCATTTTCCATTACTCCCTTTTTCTGGAGCTGAACTGCTTAATTGAAGCCGACTGGATGTTGAGTAGATTTGGGACTTCTCCTGGGTCTGCTCTGACAAAGACATCTGCTCTTCATCACTCTTGATCCTCTGTGGAACACATACTCTCGCCCAATGGATACTAAAATTAGAGAAATTAGCATTAAACCTCACAATTATGTATAAAACTTTCCCATTCACAGAACCTTCCGAAACACAAGACACCGACTTAGCAAACTTTTGACCTTCAAACCAAGAAATACAACCCAAGATAAGTGCAAAGACTACCTGATCGAACTGACTCAGATGATCCATAAGGAACACAGAAATCAATTTCCTCATAACTCTGTCATAACGATCAGTGAAAGAAAACAGGCATATGCATAGGCACCATATCTCAATCATAACTCTCAAGACAAGTTCACACCCCCTGATGGTGAACTCGAACACAACACACACTCTCATCAACCTTCTAGTCTTCCAAAAGACTAAATAAACCATGCCAAAAACTTGACAAACCTCACCATCACTTCCCAAGTGATTTACGTCTCATGACAAACAATCAACCAAGAGGTTTAAGGGTCTTAACATCTTGAAGATGCACAGCAGATTACCTGGGAAACGCCCAAGGACAATCTGAAACCCTTCACAATGATTAACACTAGGTAGGATAACCTTATCCACCAACTTGAAATACACACCTGGAGCCTCAAACATCTGCTCCCCAGTATGAATAAATCCTTCACCATCACTATGACTCTGAAAGTCAACTCCAATAAGACTCTGAAAGTCAACACCACACTTGAGTGGAACATACACTTTCATCACTCGTGCATCAAAATAACCTGGATCTGAATATAGAGACACTGCTCTAGTATAACTCACCACTTCCTCATAACAACTAGATGCACAACCTACTTGAGTAAACTCTCTCTGCTCAACCACAAGGCTGGACAAAGATGTCCCACAGTCCATTACTTCACAAGACAATAGCTCCTGCAGAATAAAAGTAGATTCCAACATCCTACACACACTCTGACTCATTGTACACAATGAGAAATACTTACTCCACATGGAATAAGAATCACAACCCACAAATCTCCGCAACTTAGATCCAAATGCTACTTTACCACTCTTAATTGTTTTACCAAAATTTCCTCCCATGACATCTGGAGCTGCTCAGAGTACTGTCTGCTCACAATCAATAATAACACTACCAAGCTGGGTCACATCCTCACAGACAACTGAAGAGGGAGGCTCAATGGGTCTCCATCTACTCAACAGAAGCTGATCCTCTGGCTGCTTTCCCACACTCTCCAGAACTGGATCTACAGTACAGACTGTCTCCTTGCTTCTCTCTGAAATCTTAGGCTCAGTTCTACTCAATGCACATAAATTTAGGGAATCTGAAGCGAGCGGGCAAGTAACAGGTAGTTTGACCTCCTCCCCTATACTATCACCTTGACTAGGGTGAGGCGGGGCCTCTACAACAGACTTACTCTCGACAACTGATTCTAAACTTGGAGTGAGCGGGAATACTTCTGCCAACCCGACATCTTGTCCTAAACCATTCATTTGGCTGGAATACAATAGAGTCGTGGCTTTCAAGTTTCTCTCAACTCCTGGCACAACGTTCGTAGTGAGCGGGCAAGACAATGGTACATGGACATCCTTTCCCAATTTATTGGAATAAAGCAGAGTCATAGTATCAGGCTTACTCTCAACAACTAGGTCGGCCACACAAGAATCTGGAACAACCACATCCCACTTCTCCACTGAAGGGGTACTGGTTACTGGAACAAATGCTTGAGTAACAACATTAGAACTGACAACTGCATTTATAATAGTACTGACATCAGCACAGGTAGAATGGACAAAACCATCTTCTACAACAGGTTGTTCATTCATAGAAATAATTTCAGCACAGGCAGAATAAACATGGTCTGCAACTGGCTGTTTACACAAACGGGGATCAATCTCACCCACAACATGATTTATGGCCACATCATTACCCAATATAACATCCACACCTGGGATGGGCAACTGTGTACTAACACTCACAGTGCATAAACTTGGTGTAATGGTGGATCTGAAATTAATGTCTATTAGAGGTACAGTTTTACATCCTGCAACACTCTGAAGAACTACAAACTTTCCAGTCTCTCTCTTTTCAACATCAGAAAGAATACTGGATGAAATTATGGTTTGGGAAGCACCTGTATCACGAAGAATAACCACTGGCTTCCACTTCCCATTAATACACAAAACTTCACCTGAAGACATATATGGTGAATACTGTTTGACCCAACTGGGGTTTACAGTTACATGTTTATTAGTAAATTTATTTTGCACACCTCTACAATAAATGAGACCAGTTGGTCGTAACTCAGGGTGCAATATAAAACAGGAATTAATTCCATGGCCTTTTCTCTTACAATGGGAACAGGACCTTACAGTGGACACACCTGTGGAACCAACTGTAGGTTTAGAAGTAACCTTATTATTATTTGACATTCCTGACAATGAGGTAGCAGGGTTAGGTTTTGCAAGAGAAGAGCTCATGGGAGTAACTGGAGCACTAGGACTGGATGGATTCTGATAAGGAGTTCGGTGAGCATTATAATTTACTCTACGACTAGACTTAGGTGAAGTGGCCATAAACTGGGCCTTAGTCAACAACTCATGCTCATCCGCGAGCTTTGACAGCTCATAAATGTCTGTTACATTCTTTTGTTCTGCCATAAAAGTAGACAACTTGTCTGGGAGACATGACACTACTTCTTCCATTATAAGAAGATTCTTTAGAGCATCAAACTCAGTTACTGAAAGTGACTTTAACCATCTGTTGCAAAAATTCGTCTTCTGACCAGTAAAATCTGCTATTGTCTGATCGCTTACCCTCCTTAGGTTCCGAAACTTCTGCCAGTGTGCCTCTGGATTTAATTGATACGCATTTAAGATGCTTTTCTTTACAAATTCATAATCAAAACTATGAGCGTCAGGTTGGGATGTAAAAACCTCCTGACTACGCCCCTTAAATTGAGACTGCATAATGGCTACCCATTGATCCCTTGGCCAGTTCATACTGATGACAATCTTATAAAAATGTGCAAAGAAAACCTCAGGATCCTCCTCATTAAACTTGGGTAACTCTATATACGTATTCATCCTTATGGGATTATTATCACTATTTGTTGAAACATTACTAGTATTTCCATGCCCAGCTGCCATACGCTGTGTTTCAAGCCTATAATTAGTGTCAGCCATCTGTTGTTGAATCTCTAATTGCCTAGTTTGTTCCTCGGCTTGTTGCTTCTAGTTGCAACTCAATTAAACATCTTCTATTTTGTGCCTCAAGTTCTAAACGCCTAGTCTCAAGCTCCCTCTGCTGAGCTTCCACCTCTAATAATTTCTGTTGCTTTTGAGCTTCAATCTCTAATAGTTTCTGTTCCTTTTGAGCTTCAAGCTCTAATTGACGAGCTTCTAACTCAAGACGCTTTAACGTCATCTGATCACTTGACTCCTCTCTAAACTCCTCCAGAATTTCTTCGTCTAACTCTCCATTCTCAACAAAATGCGTCACAATGACTTTCACAATTTGGGCTTTAACCATTCTATTGTTGGCGGTCAAATCCAACAGATTTGCCATTTGTACTAACTCAGACTTTTTTAGGTTCTTAATTCCCTCAAAGTCTGGATGAGCCAACAGCGACAACACTTGACTCTCCATCGTTACTAACACTTGGCACTTGATTCACAACAACAATTAAAACAATGGCACTGCACTACACTTCACTGTAAAATTGTCACAACACTGAAAATTCGCTTGGCCTCACTGCACAAACAAAATATATAGGATGACTTACCTCAAACTCGTGAAACGTTGTTACTTGACACACAGGAAGGCTTGCTTGGCACATGAAATAGTTCTTATAAAACACACAGACACCTAGCACACTGGTACTCTAGAAAGGCAGGTTAGATTAGCACAGTTATGTTTAAGTGGGAACAATATCTCCCGACCGGCCCCCATAACTCTTGTTACCTATCGTTCGTTACGGCTCGTGACCCTATCAACAGCATGGACCTTAATTATCTAGGGCTACTACAAACTGCTGTTCTCAAGACCGGGTCACCAGTGTAACCCCATGAATGATAACAGGCTAAGAATGAAAAGTATTTCTCCCTTAGGACTGAAGAATTATACATATAACTTATAATATATATATTCAATACAGTATAATATAAAAACACAGATGGTCAAGTTAACTTATACAACCAACAAAAAGTATTGTCTCATATAATATAATATATAAAAATATGGCACAACATGAATGTTACAGACTTAACTCTACAAAGATGTGATCTCTCCTGGCCCTCGCTCTGTCGCTACCCATAATTCTCTCCTTCTCAGCCTCATCCAGGATGAGGGATGAAAAATGCAGACTTTTTAATATTTAAAACTAATTGAACAACCACGTGTTCTCAAAACATATAAGAATGCAAATTAAATATAATAGTTACTTGCAAAATATATAAGTACAATGCCACCTGCTTAATTACAGTAACTTGCAAAATATATAAGTACAATGCCACCTGCTTAATTACAGTAAATAAACAATTATATAAACTTAGTAAAAGTGACATCTGGAACTCCCAAACTGAACAGGTCCAGCAATTCTAATTTCCCGAATCTAACAGGTATTAGACATGGGAAGAGCAACCGCGCTCCTGTCCCCCACTGACATTGCCACACCACACGATAATTTACCAAAATATAATATATGTACCTATATGATGAAATGGAACCGAATAAGTTTATTAAATTTATAAACGTATTCAGCTAGGAGTACGTAACACACCTTACCTTCCTGGCCTCAACACTAACATTCACCACCCCTTCCTGGCCTCAACACTCGCATTCACCTCACCTTCCTGGCCTCAACACTCGCATTCACCTCACCTTCCTGGCCTCAACACTCGCATTCACCTCACCTTCCTGGCCTCAACACTCGCATTCACCTCACCTTCCTGGCCTCAACACTCACATTCATCTCACCTTCCCGGACTCAACACTCACATTCACCTCACCTTCCTAGCCTCAACACTCACAGTTACCTCACCTTCCTGGCCTCAACACTCACATTCAACTCACCTTCCTAGCCTCAACACTCACAGTCACCTCACCTTCCTGGCCTCAACACTCACATTCAACTCACCTTCCTGGCCTCATCTCTTACATTCATCTCACCTTCCTGGGCTCCACCTATACATCACCTTCCTAACTTCCATTTCATCTCCCATATTCACCTCACTTTCCTGGCCCCCGACTCTCGCCATTCTGACCTTAACCCTCACCTTCTCTTTACTTTCCTGGCCTGAACCCCTCACCTTCACCTCACCTTCATGGCTTTAACCTTCCTACCCCCATATTCATCTCACCTTTCTGACCTCAACCTTCACCATCAGCTCACCTTCCTGGCATCGTATAAATCCTAGCCCTGTGTAGATGTTAAATCTAATGAAGCCCTTACAGGTGAGATGTCTTCATTAAAGCTTAATCTCAACTTAGTTTTTCTTCTTGATTTTTATTAGCACTTTATATTTTGTTCTTCAGAACAGCTTTTGTTAGTTCTGGCGAAGCTTGTTTACGTTCGGTCATTAGATGGAGTCATGGTCTGAGTGAGTAGTTCCCTGGCTGTGTCTGCGAGGATTCAGTTGCAGAAGCGAGCACCTGAGTCTGTGAACCATAAGAATAACCTGTGGTGATTATCACTGCACACACAGCTTCGAGATACGAGAGGAGCCGGAGCTCTCGTGGGGTCTGCTGAAGGATGACGGGGTCTTCACCGGCATGATGGGTCAGCTGCAGAGGGAGGAGACCGACTTCTGCACCATAGCAGGACCCTCGCCGGAGCGCCTGAAAGTCATCGAGTACCTCAGAGGATATCCCTCTGACCCGATGACTGTCACATCTCTCAAACCTACACTACTGCCGGAAAACTTGTCGCTGATAAGGCCATTTTCAGGTACTGATCTTTCCAAAGAGTTTTCATTCAGTGTAAACTGTTCTCTTGGCGTGTCTTACAGTTTGCTTAATTATATATTTTATGTGTATTATCTTATTTAATGTAACAAATTAACTACTACAGGGGAAACAGACCACTACAAGAGTATCAAGCTAACTTCTACTTCTACACAGAAATCAAACTCACTACACTCGGGCAACAAAGTACTCTGGGGGTAACAAACTAACTACTACAGGTGTATCAAACTAACTAGCATAGGGGCAGCCAGCTTCTCCACGGTCAACAAAGTAACTACAGCAGTGGTAACAAACTAACTACTACGGGGGTAACAAACTAACTACTACGGGGGTAACAAACTAACTACTACGGGGGTAACAAACTAACTACTACGGGGGTAACAAACTAACTACTACGGGGGTAACAAACTAACTACTACGGGGGTAACAAACTAACTACTATGGGGGTAACAAACTAACTACTACGGGGGTAACAAACTAACTACTACGGGGGTAACAAACTAACTACTACGGGGGTAACAAACTAACTACTACAGGGGTAACAAACTAACTACTACAGGGGTAACAAACTAACTACTACAGGGGTAACAAACTAACTACTACAGGGGTAACAAACTAACTACTACAGGGGTAACAAACTAACTACTACAGGGGTAACAAACTAACTACTACAGGGGTAACAAACTAACTACTACAGTGGTAACAAACTAACTACTACAGGGGTAACAAACTAACTACTACAGGGGTAACAAACTGCCACATGAGTGACAATCTATCTCAGGGGTAATAAACGATTTCTGGCATAAAAATCTACCTACTACAGGGGGAAACCATATTAACTTCTTAAGATTAACAAACAACCTACTATAGAGGGAAACAAACTAATACAAGGGCAACAAACTAATCAATACAGAGGTAACAAACTAACAACTACAATAACAAGAAACAAACTACAGCAAGGGTAAAACTACTACAGGGGAAACAAATTAAAACAATGGTAAAAAACTCTTATAGTTGTAGAAACTAACTACTTCAGGGATAAAAAACAATTATTACAGGGGGTAACAAACCAACTACAGGGGTAACAAATTGCTACATGCGTAACTATCTACTACAGGGGTAAATAACTAATAGAGGTAACAAACAACAGAGGTAACAAACAACAGAGGTTATTTTGTTACAGAGGTAACAAAATAACTACTCCGAGGATAAAAATTAAATTCTACAAGGGTAAAATATTAGCTACTACAGTGCTACCAAACTAACTACAGCAGGGGAAACGAACATAAAAACATATGAACATAAGAATAAAGGTAACTGCAGAAGGCCTATTGACCCATGCGAGGCAGCTCCTATTTATAACCACCCAATCCTACTCATACATATACATGTCCATCCCACGCTTTATATATATATATATATATATATATATATATATATATATATATATATATATATATATATATATATATATATATATATATATATATATATATATATATATATATATATATATGTCGTACCTAGTAGCCAGAACGCACTTCTCAGCCTACTATGCAAGGCCCGATTTGCCTAATAAGCCAAGTTTTCATGAATTAATATATTTTCTCTAATGTTTTTCTTCCGAAATAATAAAGCTACCCATTTCATTATGTATGAGGTCAAGTTTTTTTTATTGGAGTTAAAATTAACGTAGATATATGACCGAACCTAACCAACCCTACCTAACCTAACCTAACCTATTTTTATAGGTTAGGTTAGGTTAGGTAGCCGAAAAAGTTAGGTTAGGTTAGGTTAGGTAGGTTAGGTAGTCGAAAAATAATTAATTAATGAAAACTCGGCTTATTAGGTAAATCGGGCCTTGCATAGTAGGCTGAGAAGTGCGTTCTGGCTACTAGGTACGACATATATATATATATATATATATATATATATATATATATATATATATATATATATATATATATATATATATATATATATATATATATATATATATATATATATATATATATATATATATATATATATATATATATATATATATATATATATATATATATATATATATATATATATATATATATATGTCGTACCTAATAGCCAGAACGCACTTCTCAGCCTACTATGCAAGGCCTGATTTGCCTAATAAGCCAAGTTTTCATGAATTAATTGTTTTTCGTCTACCTAACCTACCTAACCTAACCTAACCTAACGTTTTCGGCTACCTAACCTAACCTAACCTATAAAGATAGGTTAGGTTAGGTTAGGTAGGGTTGGTTAGGTTCGGTCATATATCTACGTTAATTTTACCTCCAATTAAAAAAAATTGACCTCATACTTGATGAAATGGGTAGCTTTATCATTTCATAAGAAAAAAATTAGAGAAAATATATTAATTCAGTAAAACTTGGCTTATTAGGCAAATCGGGCCCTGCATAGTAGGCTGAGAAGTGCTTTCTGGCTACTAGGTACGACATATATATATATATATATATATATATATATATATATATATATATATATATATATATATATATATATATATATATATATATATATATATATATATATATATATATATATATATATATAAAAGCGTGGGATGGACATGTATATGTATGAGTAGGATTGGGTGGTTATAAATAGGAGCTGCCTCGCATGGGTCAATAGGCCTTCTGCAGTTACCTTTATTCTTATATATATATATATATATATATATATATATATATATATATATATATATATATATATATATATATATATATATATATATATATATATATATGCGAACAAGCCTGAATGGTCCCCAGGACAATATGCAACTGAAAACTCACACCCCAGAAGTGACTTGAACCCATACTCCCAGAAGCAACGCAACTGGTATGTACAAGACGCCTTAATCCACTTGACCATCACGACCGGACATAATGAGGTGATAGCCGAGGCTATTTGAACCACCCCACCGCCGGCACTCGGATAGTAATCTTGGGCATAGCATTTTACCAAATCACCTCATTCTTTGGGGCACACGTGAGGAACACAAATGGCTATCACCTCATTATGTCCGGTCGTGATGGTCAAGTGGATTAAGGCGTCTTGTACATACCAGTTGCGTTGCTTCTGGGAGTATGGGTTCGAGTCACTTCTGGGGTGTGAGTTTTCAGTTATACATATATATATATATATATATATATATATATATATATATATATATATATATATATATATATATATATATATATATATATATATATATATATTATTAAATATGACCAAAAAAGTGAGATTAATAATTCTAACACGAATTTTCTCGATCTTTCGTACGTTTCTTTTCACTGTTGGTGGTAATTCAAAAATCAATTCTCCAAAATTCATTTTTATTTCTAGTCTGATGCGACACTTGAGCGCGTTTCGTAAAACTTATTACATTTTCAAAGACTTTAGTTTACACATACACAACTAAATAGAACTTACACGATGATGATGATGATGATGAAGATTAAGCCACCCAAGAGGTGGCACGGTCATTAATAGCCCGTAAGTGGTGGTCCTGTTGAGCCATTACCAGTATCAAAAGCTGATACTGGAGATCTGTGGAGGTGCGACTGCACCCTGCGTGATGGGAGATGTCTCCCGTAGGAGAAGAAGAACTTACACATCTTCAATTTGTTTATATCTACATTTGAGTGAGGTGGTATTAATAGGGTATTAAATTCCTAAACACAAGACAGAACACGAAACAATGGGTATTGAATGGAAGTGATTGTAGAAAGCCTATTGGTCCATATTTCTTGATGCTTCTATATTGGAGCGGAGTCTTGAGGTGGGTAGAATATAGTTGTGCATTAATTGGCTGTTGATTGCTGGTGTTGACTTCTTGATGTGTAGTGCCTCGCAGGCGTCAAGCCGCCTGCTATCGCTGTATCTATCGATGATTTCTATGTTGTTTACTAGGATTTCTGTGGCGATGGTTTGGTTGTGGGAAGAGATTATATGTTCCTGAATGGAGCCCTGTTGCTTATGCATCGTTAAACGCTTAGAAAGAGATATTGTTGTCTTGCCTATATACTGGGTTTTTTGGAGCTTACAGTCACCAAGAAGGCATTTGAAGGCACAGACGACGTTGGTCTCTTTTAAAGCGTTCTGCTTTGTGTCTGGAGAGTTTCTCATAAGTAGGCTGGCCGTTTTTCTGGTTTTATAGTAAATCATGAGTTGTATCCTCTGATTTTTGTCTGTAGGGATAACGTTTCTATTAACAATATCTTTCAGGACCCTTTCCTCCGTTTTATGAGCTGTGGAAAAGAAGTTCCTGTAAAATAGTCTAATAGGGGGTATAGGTGTTGTGTTAGTTGTCTCTTCAGAGGTTGCATGGCGTTTCACTTTCCTTCTTATGATGTCTTCGACGAAACCATTGGAGAAGCCGTTGTTGACTAGGACCTGCCTTACCCTTCAGAGTTCTTCGTCGACTTGCTTCCATTCTGAGCTGTGGCTGAGAGCACGGTCGACATAAGCGTTAACAACACTCCTCTTGTACCTGTCTGGGCAGTCGCTGTTGGCATTCAGGCACATTCCTATGTTCGTTTCCTTAGTGTAGACTGCAGTGTGGAAACCTCCGCTCTTTTCCATGACTGTTACATCTAGAAAGGGCAGCTTCCCATCCTTTTCCATCTCGTAAGTGAAACGCAGCATAGAACTCTGCTCAAATGCCTCCTTCAGCTCCTGCAGATGTCTGACATCAGGTACCTGTGTAAAAATGTGGTCAACATACCTGCAGTATATGGCCGGTTTCAAGTTCATGTTGACTAAGAATTTTTGTTCGATGGTACCCATGTAGAAGTTTGCAAACAGGACACCTAGGGGAGAACCCATGGCGACCCCATCTACTTGCTTATACATGTGCCCATCCGGGCTCAAGAAGGGTGCCTCTTTAGTACAAGCTTTGAGTAGTTTCCTTAGAATATTTTCTGGTATGTCAAGAGG